GTTCCGAAATTCCGGGCCTTTTGGAATTGGAATGAATTTTTAGATTCCGAAAATTTTGGAATTGGAATTGGAATTGATTTTGTACTTCCGAAATTTTTTGGAAATATTCCGAAAAGGCTAATTCCGATCCGATCCTTCCAACTTTCAGCCCTATAAATAATCCATACTAGTAATAGTGGAGTTGTAAAATATTATACAATTTGTGCAAGCATTACAAAAGGTATTCATAAGATTGTTAGATAAGTTCATAGTTCATGTATTCAATCATGTTAGTTTTGAATTGTTGATTGTTCGATGCAATTTTTTATTTTTTAAACTTTTAAAGTCATTTATAAAAAATAATGTTCGATGTAATTTTTTTGTTATTACTAAGGGTGTAAGTTGGAACGGATTTTCCAATTTCCGCCGGTTCCGATCCGAAAAGTTTCGATTTTGGAACAACTTTTTTCATTCCGACTTCCGAAATTCCCATTTTCGGAATTTTTCGATTTTTTTGGATTGGAATTGGAATTATATAAAATAAATTTGGAATTTCCGATTTCCGATCCGATTTAATTCCAAAATTAATTCCGAAAAATTCTGATTTTTTCCGAAAAATACACCTATAAATAGTATATATTATATAATACTTATTTTCCAAAAAATACACCTATAAGTTCGTTTTAGGATTTTTACATAATGAATTGTTGCTAGAAGTTTTATTGGATATTATGCAGTGTTTATTTTTATTTATTTTTTTGAACTGAAATTTAGTAGTTATTAGTTTTACTTTTATCGACGTGGATGTTCTTATTTTCGAAAAATTGTGAACATTTTAGAAAATTTCGGCTACGTTTTGAAATTTTAAAGCTTATGTGATTTCCGATTTTTTTCCAAAATTCCGAAATTTTACGGGCCTTTTGGAATTGGAATGGATTTTTAGATTCCGAAAATTTTGGAATTGGAATTGGAATTAATTTTGTACTTCCGAAACTTTTTGGAAATTTTACGAAAAGGCTAATTCCGATCCGATCCATCCGACTTTCACCCCTAGACTCATTACTAATAATATTATTATTTGTATTTATTTTTTAATGATTTCATATAAACTCTGTTAAATTATATATCCAAATTCCTATCTAGAATTTGTGATGATTTTTATTTTGTATTTTTTTGAATTGACTTATTTTATTTCAGATTATTATTTTATTTTTCTTGTGAATTGATTAATAATATAGTATACTATAAGTTGAAATAAAATTAACAATAACAATAACAGTCACCCGGGAAGTTTGCACCACTTCACGTGAATGGATAAGTAATGATTAGTTTTTATTGTTTATTGTGACTTTGTGAGAATATGTACGGTAATTAAGTTTATATGTTAGCCTGAAGGTAACTTTAGGAGGGAAATATTTTGAGGGGAAATTAATGGAGCCAAAGCTACTAGGGGCATAAATGGTATAAACTATAAATAATAATATAAAAATTAATTTCTGGCTGGCCAGAATCTGGTCATTTAGCATTGTCCTTTTGGAAAATATATATGTAATTTAACTAAATTAAATTTTCAACTAATTTTCTTTTGGGGGGCCTACTGCATTAAACGACAAATTAATATGGAATATAAGAATGGAGCAATTTGCTAAACACTCACGAACACTAATACTCTCGCAAATTCTGATAGTTGACTTTTGCGTATTTTGCTAAAGATCTCTTGGGCAACTTAGTTAAAGAGCCTACACAGAAAATAGTTATTCTAAACTGAAAATACTTTCTTATTCTCCATTCGTTCTTATCCGTCCTTAAAACCACATCCACTCTAAAAAATTGAATTTCTTTCATTATTCCGCCGTTCTCTACCAGTCCCATACCTCCAACCGCCTAATTTCCGCCACAACATCATCGGAAAAAAGTCATTTTCATTTTAAATGTTTATTTTCAGCATAAACTGTATACTTTCAACATAAACTCTCAAACTAGGATAATTATTTCTAGTCTAACTAAGCTGCCTCAAAAGACTTTTAGCAAATTTAAAATATCGAGTGGACTGTTGGTTATACAAATATTTTTGAGGGAATTTTGTCCAATTTTCCCCATACAAAACCAGTGGTAAAAAAATAAAATAAAAATCAATGTTATAGTTAATTTTAAATAAATGTACACTAAAATCCGAAAGGCCCATTATTAGATGTCTTGCAATTAATTGCTATTGGGTTCAAATTTCCAACCCAATAGTTTCTTCTGATTAATTCTTGAATATATGCTATGGCCCACTAACTTTTAATTGGGCCTCATAGGTCACCGTGTAAATAAACTGGTTAATGCTAATCTTACGGTAGCTTCTCTCACACACTAAGGTGGTGTTTGCAAATGATTATTTAAAAGCAGAAGTTAGTGATA